ATTGAGTCTGTTGATTTATTGATTTTTCGCAGTTTCTGGTCAAAGTCGCTGGGAGTTGGTGCACAGGGGTAACATGATATGCCAATTACGAATTTGATATCCTTTTGAAAATTCATTGATCGATTCCATTGATTTATTGATTTTTTGCATTTTTCGTTTTGAGGTGCTGGGAGTTGATGTACTGGGGTATTGGTTTGTTGATTACGATTTTGATAACCATTCGAAAGTCTATCAACTTTAATTTAGCGGTTTCTGCTTCGAACTACTGGAAATTGGTGAACAGTGTTCGTTAACAGGCTGATTACGATTATTTTGCTCAAAATAGTATCTACTAATTTTCTGGTTTTTTCATGTTGCTATCAATTGATGCAAAGATGTGCTAACATACTGAACAGTACGACGTAATTTTCTTCAGCCTAGGTTTGCTAAAAGAAAATCTCTTTAATCTCTTTAGCTGGAAATCTTAAAATCTACTGTGCTTCTTCCAGAAATAAATTATCTTAAAACAAAGTACCATTGACTACTTTGAAACAGCCGAGCGTAGCCGGGTATGCAAGCTAGTTTTTTATGCTTCCGGCTAAAGAACTAAGCATCAAAAACTTTACTGACGAATGATAATTATAATAAAGAGGCCGCTTTTCTTTTTAAAATGGCATTCCTTACTTTTAAAAATTTAGCGACATTCTTCTAACTTTATGGTGGCAAATTTTTTTTTTGAGAAGAGGTGGATAACTTATAAAAGTATAAATAAGAAGGCGAAAAGATTGATAGAGAGCGATAATGAGGTTAAGAATAAGGAGTTGAAGCCTCAAAGGTGCCTCAAGTTGAAGGGAGGTAAACGTGCCCGGATACCAAGCCATTATAAAGGGAGGAATTAACAAATTTTTTCATATCTCTAGGATACATATTGTAACACTTGCTTTTAATCGCGGCGGGAAGTGCTCTCAGTTTGCAAAAAAATACGTATCAGGTTGTGTTCAATGTCTATGGGATAACGTTTGTTGTGCTGATAGCGTAGTCGTTATGGGCGTCGTTGACGCTCGCTCAAGACAAGTTCGGTAATTGGCCAAGTGAATGTTTTGCGTCAATCCTCAAACTTAATGAAAAACCTTATGCCAAGTTTGCGGCTAGCTTATGCCATGCTCGGAGCTGTCACTAGTGTGACTCGTTCTTGTTGTGACAAATGTGATTACTACCACCCAAGTTTTTATTAGAATTTCTTTCTTGTTTTTTAGGATTTTTTCGTTACGGATACAAAGAGAGGTAGGGGGAGAGCCGTAAATTCAGTCAACTCTCAATCTTTGAAGCGCTTTTCTTTCCTAAATGAGGTTCAGCTTATAAATTGTTACGTTTCAAACGCTGTTGATATCTTAACGAAATTTGATTAAGAGTGTTTGTTCATTCTCCACACATATTCATCACTCTCGCAAGTTTCTACTCACTCACCTTCCTTGAACTCTTTTAAGTTCTGGATCCGGAAACATCGCATTTTATATTTGACTCAAATCCAAACGGTTTACAGCTCATAGGCAAATGAGCTCGTTCGAAGCGGAGGTGATAGCATGGGCTTCCACGATCCTTGAAGCGCCAATGGATTATGCCTGAGCATTGGGTTGGCAGTCCAGAGACAGGGTCTGCAGTGACGGTAGTTTTTGATGTGCTGTGGTAGCTGGTGAGAGGAAATAAGCAATTCTTTCTTATTTAATCAGATCAGTGAG